CTATATATTATTAAATGGTAGATCTTTTTTTCCTAATTTCAAAAACATATAGTTTATTGGCATTTCATTAAGCCGTTTTTGAGATATTTCGGTTTAAATATAATTATCATTCAATTTCTGGACAAAGCTATATTGTTTAAAAATGGTCAAGTCTGCCTTGATAGCAACCATATTATCTATGTTTGCAATTGTTTTAACAATTGACTTTTGACAACTAATCAAAACTAAAGATTTGCAGCGTAAGTTAAATAACTGAGGAAGAAAAACGCCAAACAATAAAATTATATTATTCAAACAATAAAAATATCAATAATTCAAGACAAACATTTTACACATAACCTCCATTATTTTCTATACATCGGACAATATTTCTTTTCAATTTCCTATTAATACACGAGGTGATAAAATCAGGGTTTCTCTGTTTATATCTTATTAAACGATATTGTCTTTCTCTTATCATTTGCAAACCTTCAGGCCTATTATAATAAATTTTATTTTTTAATTATCCCCACAAAAAAATGTCACAAGGATTCAGGTCGGTGCTGTTGGCAGGTCATTTGATAGTTTCTTGCCTACATTTGTCTATATTTATTACTTAGATCATTGGTAACCGGTTGGTCATTATGTGGAGGTGCGCCATCTTGATGCCAAATTATTTAATTATTTAAAAAATTCCTAACTGGCACATTTTCTAAGTGTTCTATTTCTATTTCAAGGAAATTTAAATATCGCTGGCTATTCCAGGATCCTTCGTACATAATTGGTCCGACCACCATATTGTTCAACATACCACACCATAAATTAACCGACGTGCGTACTTGCATTTTCACTGTCTGCATTTTGTGTGGATTATTGGTGGACGAAAAATGTTTATTCATCCTATTAAAGACACCTGCTGTTGTGAACGAAGCTTCATCAGAGATCTTTTATACATTTCAGTACAAAATTCGATCCTCTGCGTTTTATGTTCACCGGTTAAATTTTGCACTAGAAGCAACTTATGTGGGTGAAACTTATGATATTTTAGCGTTCGTTGAATTTTACTATAGGGCTTTCCGGATAATATTTTAAGGCCAGGTGTAGAATATTCAGGATTTTCTAAAAAATATGAAACATAAAAATTAGGAAAGTAGAACTTTCTTCCACAGTATAACCCATTTGAAATATCTTAAGTTATTTAACTAACGCTGCAGATCTTTCGCTTTGATTAGTTGTCAAAAGTAGAATATTGTTAAAACAATTGCAAACATAGAAAAAATGGTTGCTCTATCAAGGCAAACTTGGCCATTTTTAAACAATATCGCTATTGTCCAGAAATTGAACGATAATCATATTTAAAACGGCTCAATGAGATGTCAATATGTTTTTTTTTTAATCAGAAAACAAATTTGACAGCTTGCGATAGTCCTTTGTTTTTTCTGACGTTTGCATAAGATAATAGAGCAAAAATCTTCAAACTTTTGTATTTACACTTTTTTTCTATCTTCCAAAATTAACCATGTGGGTGGGTGTCAAAATATAATGAATAACCCTATACGTAAAGAAGAGCAAGTGGAAAAATGAAACTCATATGAAAACCTTGAATTATAAAATCGCCTAAATTTACGAACATGCTTTACTCAAACGTGGGTCATACTTCGGCGACGTCGAGCGAACGCGACGAGCGTTTATCGTGGGGCGCCCGAATGGCCGCCGGTTTAATTGCCCCAACGTAACTGTTCCTTCAGCACGCGCCATCGACTGCGAAGTCGATCGATTAAAAAATTTTAAGCCTTCCCGTATATACGCGCCACGCTTCGCTTCTAATTATCGAAGTGAATCATCCGGGCGGGCGACGCGGGGTGGGTCGCACCCCTCGGAACTTTTGCCGTCGCCGCCGCAGCCGCTCGTTTCCCCGGCTCTCTTTCCCCACCCCCCGACTTAATATCCGAGGCAAATGGGCAACCTTCCGTTTTTATTGGCAAATATCTAATATCGGCCGTTAACGTTTTACTTTAATTAACTGGCCTTTATTTTTGAAGAGACCGAGGATCTCCGAACCTTCGGAGCGTGGAACATCGTTTGGTCGAGGGTTTAGTGTTATGGTCTGTTCATAGATATAAGAAAGTGACTAATTGTTTTTAAATGGGATTATCCAAGGGTGGTCATTAACATACAAGGCAACAAGATTATTATCTAAAGTTTCGGAATTTAAATTCAGGTAAAATTGTGGTCCGTAATAGAAAATAATTTTATACCTACCTGTGTTTAATATTCTTTGGTTTGGTATACTACTTAGTTTAAGCTTATTAATAATCATTCTTATTTCGTGTGTAATACAGCGTGTGTTGAATCGTGTGCGAGTTATGCAAAATATGTGCGAGTCTAGTGTATCTCAGGAGATGCTCCCGCCCAAATGTAGAAAACACTATTCTATTTAGACTAAGGAAGTTATAAACAATGTTCATTTGACTCTCATTGAACGTGGTGCCAGCAAGCAAGCATCTTTAGAAGAAACGGCCACATTGAATAATCCCATTTCAGCGAGAAAAAAAAAGAAGCCATGCTGAAATTTTCTCGAGTGTACCAGTTATACGAGGAACAGGCGATGATAGCGATAGTGATACTGATACATTATGTGAATAATTTTAAGTAATTTAAGTAGGTAATAAAAATAATTTGTAATTTTATTTTAGATTTTAAATAAATAAATACTGTTTAGTATCTTTCCTAACAAAACGGACGGACGGACCTGTTCGGCCATATTTCATTCTTACAGCTTGCCCTGGTCTTTCCTTAATTCGTATCAGTTAGTCACTTTCTTATATCTATGAACAGACTTTAACTGTACAGAGTGAACCAAATCGGACGCTGTTAAAGGAGATAGACGAAGATGGATATATGTGCCTGCAGCTCTATTTTCATAAAAAAAACGTAAAAAAAACATAATACAATAAAATTTCCAACTAAAAAAACGTATTTTTATTTGGAAATTTTAGAATCGTTGAATAGAACCTAAAATTGGCGTCCTATGCTACAATCAGGGTTTCTAAAAATTTGAACAACTTGGTTTAAGGCAAAATTCATTAACTCAAGTAGCGTGACAGATGCTAACCATTGCGTAACCGCGTTCATGCCCAGAATGTATGGGCAATTTAAAAATAAGACCATTCAGTCTTCTCGAAAAACTGAAAAGATGACCGCATTTGCCTAATATTTGTCGAGGTTATAGAAACGTACAAAAACAGTCATCTAAAGATGTCAAATACAGTTAGGGTATTGACAGAATAACGAAATGCTTAAATCTATGTTCATATAAACTTTCCAAATTGTATGTAAAGTTGATTAAATGAGTAAAAACCTCAAAAAAGACCATATTAGCTCAATTGCTGTTACAAAGTTAAAAGGAATGAGTATGTTACAGCCAGAGATGGTGAACGATATTCAGAATGTGATACTTACTCAAATTTTTGTGGAGGCTGTATTACGATGTGAGAAGGCATTTCCTTAAATGGCCGCATAGAATTAGCTGTAGTGAATGCAGGACCAATCACTGCTGACAGATACATAAGAGATAATTGGATTTGAATACCTTGAAGAAATTATAATTTATAGATTGACTTGATGTACAAAGTCCGAATTTGAATCCCCTACGACACAATTGGGATCATCTAATACTGCAATTCAAAAATGCGAAATCTTGCTCCAAGGACTTTTAGAACTCAGCATGGTATACTGCGCCTAAAGTCGCTATGACATCTTCGTAGAAATGGGAATGATCTTCCGCCCATGTTTCAGCCACTTCACCTTCACTTGCGCTCTTACCTCTTTCTAAAGAACTATATCCACGCACTTTTGTTGAGAGAATTTAATGCGTTCCGGACATATTTCGAAAAAAAAACGGTAAAAATACCGCGTTCCAAACTTACTGACGATCTGTCAGCAGCCATGTTGGTTGCTAAACGCTACGGATATTGGTAATTGCCTTGCGCATACTGATTGAACCTTCTCATTTTTTTTATAGTTCATATATCGCTCACTGGGTGCAACATTGGCAGATACCAGAAAATAGCTATTTTTAGTTAATTTAAATATTCTTGTTTTAATAAATAATAATACAAATCATATCACTATAAATTTTGTTATAAGTAGGAGAGTTGATATGTGTTATCTCAATATTTCAGTTTTTATTTTCCTAAATCACGGATTTTTTTCGCATTTATTAATTTGTGGATGTGCCGCTACTGCATCCAGTGAGTGATATATTATCAGCAGGGTCTCTATAAATCTAGTAACTGTTTGGCTTAAGATCTCAATATTCACCTCGTTTTGGGCCGTATGTGATCTGGAAATATAAAACTCCTCTGCTAATCTGTTTGCATGAAGATTTAATGGGATTTGGACATATTTTGAAAAAAAAAATCCGAAAAAATGGCGCATCCAAATTTATTGACAATCTGTCAGCGGTCATGTTGGTTCTTGAATGCCGTAATGCTCTTGGTTATTAGTCGCTTCGTAATTTCCCGTCTGTTATCAGCATATGCAGGGCACTAAAAGCTATATAGCTTAATTTTGTACTATTTTTGCAGTATGTGGTGTGGCATTATAAAACTGCTCTCGTAATCTGGCAAACTTTTTCTTTGACATTAAATTCCATATTTCATGTGAGAAAAAGATTTAAACAATAAAAAAAGTTTAAACGTGGTTTCCGTTAAAACACTTTGCTTACAGAGTAAATTAAAATAAAATTGTTTTTTATATCGAAATCAAGTCAGCAGTAAACTTTGAAGTTGACCCAAATTTTAGTGGTGAGTGAATTTTGATCCAAAGCTAATTTCAAATAGTACTGCTTGGGTTTATTTCATTTCCGCGATTAAACTTCTAAACTAAGGTAGGCACTTTATAATTTTCTGTTGAAAATTAATTTTCATAAACGTTCCGAAAATTGACAACCCTAGGCAAGTAAAAAGTGCGGTGGGCTGCTGTTCGGGGAATTCGATCGAAAATCGTCTTCGACTTACCTTCAAAGTGACGGTCGGAACGTACAGCGGGGGATCCTTGGCGGACCCTTTGAGCTCGTCGTCCTGCGGGGGAATCCCCCCGTCTTCGTCGCAAACGCTGTACCGGCCCACTATGGCGTCGGCGGGCTTCGCCTCGTAACCGGGCGGTTTCCCCACGCAAAATCCCTTGGCCTTCACCCAAAACCGGAACTTGCTGTTGTCCGCGTTTGCCAATTCGTCGCCGCTCAGCGTCCTCAGTATCCGCGCGTATTTTTTCAGCGTGATCGTTTTCGTCTTGGCCTGATCTCCGTACGTCCTGATCACCCACGGTTGATAAGCGTCGAATATGTCGTCTTTGGTGGTCCCATTCGGTCGCGGTCGTTTATTGTTGTTGTTACGTTCGTGCGCGGCGCACTTTGATTGTTTTTTGCGTTTCGCGCTTTTGACGGGCCCGCACGGCCGCCTCGATTCCGAACTCATCGCGCGTCGGCCTACTACACGATAGTTCGGCCCGACGACGCACCTGTTGCGTTAGTTTCAAAGTCGAAGGAGCGGCGGATTTACGCGGCGGAGGCGTCGCGACGTCTCGAACGTCGTCCGGCGAGTGAGCGAGCGAGCGGATTGTCCCGCGGCCGAACTGCGGTGCGTCTGTTTTCGGATCGCTGCCGTTGCGGGACCCTTCGGTGTCGGGCCTCTCCTCCCCACCACTCGGTGGCGGCCCATGCACGGATATACCGGCACCGGCGGCGGTCTGCGCCGCGTGTGTGTGTGTGTGTGGGTCTCGTATCGTTTTTAGGGGAACGGCGAGCGGGGTGGTGGGCGGCGGGAGGAGCGGAGATAGCGAGAGGAAAAAAGGCTTTGTTTCGGAAAGCCACCGCCGCCGCCGCACACCGGGGTATTAACAATATAAAAGTAATCGAAAATGAAAATAGTTTGCCCTGGATTTTAAAAATACTCAGGTTCAGACAATATTTTTTGTTTACTCTGCGCTATTAGGTGTTCGATACATTAGTTGCTTGTTACCCCGCGTCAAAGATACGATTTGGTGCAAATTTGAAATCAATTTTCAATTGGTGTGTGTAAATGGTTAATTTATATTCGTCCATTCTTTTACTTACAAACTGGGTCTCGATTTAACATTTTGGAGAAACTTGCAGGGATTTTAAAACATATTATTTTTCAAGAAGCGGCATTTTTAAGTACTGTTCGTTTTAATTTAATTATTGAACGGATTAAAAATACTGTAGTATGACTTTATCAGAGAAGTTACTCGGTAAACTTTCAGTTTTTTTAAGGTGAAAAAAAGTCACTACTAGTATTTGCTCCTTTTTAGCAAAAATAGAAAAAAGTTGGTCCAGTGTGCGTAAATTTTGCATATATTATCTCTTTCCGTCTTTCTTTTTTTACTTCTGGGCTGCTTCACAGAATTATACAATCAATAATATATTTAACTTTCAACATAAATTCAAAATTTACTACAACACCCGATCAACCACAAAAATTATATCGTTTTTGTAAATTTAGCAATTCAGAATGAGGTAGACAGAGTAACTTATAATTCACGAAACAAAGTAAATGTCTCCATTCAAATAAAACTTTAAATTGTATCGATTATTATTGCTGATATTTAGTCTACTAATATTTTAAATGGCGTACTCTTTACTATTCATCTTTTGGTTTTGGTTTTTTAAAATGAGAACTTTGTATGTAGGTTAAAACTCCCGCAGACGGCTGCTCCTCAAAAAACATTCAGTCAAGATAAGAAGCTTCGGGCGTATGAGAGAAAGACTATAAACTTGGCGTTATTGTCCATATATATAGATTTAGCTGCTTTGGGATTTTTGACTAATCCTGTGTAATGTAGATATCCTTCAAAATATGAAATTTGTATTTGTATATACATTGTTTATATGATTCCTTTTACATATAAACTAGATCGCGATTTAAGATACCTACAGGTATGTTTTAATTATTGGACGGACTAAAAATAATGTAGAAAACTTAATAGAGATGTCTAGTTAAATATGTTTATATACTTAATTAATTAGTCAGCTATAAAGCCCCTGAAGCCGAACATTGATGTCCGCGTTGATGTATGCCCGTTCAAAATCGGGCATGCAAAAACATATAGTAGTTCTGCTCGCAGAAGCACGTACAAAATCGCAGTTTGCTCAAAATGAACTAGAACCAAAACAAATTATAAAACCGGCGCTTGTGGTGTATTCAAAAATGGGACATTATTCTTTTTGTATGTACCTTTCTGAATGTTCATTCATCAACGCAGACATCAACATTCATCTGTAGAGACCTTTTCTGCTTCTTTTTCGTAAAAATAGAAAAAAATTGGTCCAGTAACGAAAAATTTTGTAAATTTAAATGTGTAATGTTCATTTATCCTTCAAAATATTAAAGGGTTACCGAAGTGATCATCTCAAAGCGGATAATCAGTTAACCTTTTTAAGAGGTTTTTTAAAAAAAACATTTCGATCAGAAATTAAAATAGTTGATAAATTGTATACGATATTTCTGATGTTTGTTATAATAATATTTTTGTTTCACAGTTTAAATTAACTTATGTTTTATTCTCTCTATACTGTCCCAAATATTTGGTTGTTGCGAGCTTTTTGACTAGCCCTGTCTAATATAGATGTTTGTTCATCGTTCAAAATATTAAATTGTTACTAAATCCGCTAATTTCGATCAGAACTGAGTGTGAAATGGCCGGCTGTGTGGCGAGCGGTGAGGTGGGCGGCGGGAGAAGCGGAGATAGCGAGAGGAAAAAGGCTTTGTTTCGGAAAGCCGCCGCCGCGGACGCGATAAATAGCCGACCGGCCGACGTAAGTAATAACGGTAGGCGGAAGTCGGGGCGATGGGCGAGCGGTGACCGCGACACGACCGACGATCACGGGCGATTTCAGGCGAGGTCGTCGTCGAAAAATACGGCGGCCGTACGCCTCGATTATATTATTTTTTTAAAACGTAGCGGGCACGAGTAGCGAGCCGATTTTATATTTGCAAGCGACACGATTCGATGACAATTTTGATAATCGTCTTTAAAGTTTCATTATATTACGATTTACCAGACTTTTCTTTTTTTTACTTTGTGCCACTTTGTGCTTACTTTTTTAAAAATTCCGTAGTTTAAGTAAAGGATCTCCGATATTACTCCATGTTTTAAAGAATTCTGGACGTATTAAATAATTTCCGAAAACTTTCAAAAACATCGAGTTGAGTCTACAACCGAGCAAATGCCCAACCACTTTCCACTTATTTTAAATAATTCCTTAATGCAATCCGGAATTCTGACATGTTTTAAAGAATTCCGAAAAACTATGAATTGATTTATTGCCAATAGTTGCCTACAACAACTTGGAATTTCTAAATGTTGTAATTAAACTTTTTATAAAACTACTGGATTCCTCCTGCGTCGGTTTTTGTTGAACCAAATTAGCTAGTCAGTTTCAGTCAAGCTGCCGAACGCCGAAACGAGCTAGTACGACTCAACAAAAACCGACGAAGGAGGAATCCAGAAGTTTTATAAAAAGTATTACAATAGCCTGTAGAAGTTTTTTTGAAAAAAAAAATGTTGTAGTTAATTCCTTTAAACGACGCAGTGTTTCGACTTATTTTAAATTATTCCTTAACAATACTTGAAATTTCTGTTTTGAAGAGCCGAATTCTGGCTTATTTTAAATAATTCCTTAAAACAACTCGAAATTCGTTTTAAGAAATTCAGTAAAACAACTCAGAATTCAGATTTATTTTAAATAATTCCGTAAAAGAATTCAGAATACTTGTAAAAACATCAAGTTCCTTAAGAAAATTCGGAATTCTGACATATTTTAAAGAATTCCGTAAAACAATTAGGAATATCCACTTATTGTAAATAATTCCCTAATGCAGCTCGGAATTACAACATGTCTTACATAATTGCTTAAAACAACTCGGAATTTCAACGTATTTTAAATAATTCATTACAAAAACAACGTTGAATACTGAGTTGTTTTGAAAAATTATTTAAAACAACTTTAGAATTCCGTTATGTCCTATAGAATTTCGTAAAGCTACTAGGAATTTCGACATATTGTAAATAATTCCATAATACAGCTTCAAATAATTTGAAAAGTACGAAATTCATAAAGAGGTCCAGGGAAAGCGAAGCAAGGAAGCTGAATCGGACTCAAACAAGAAAACAATCAAGACAAGTGATATTTCTACACATATATTTTTATTAAAATTGAAAACCTAAAATTCTTTTTAGGTAACATTAATTTTCACACCCAGATCACCTCCTTGGATTTTCACTACTGCGGGAGTGAATTTTGAATAATCTCTTGCTAATTTTTTGTGGTTAGTCTGGTCTTTTTTGGTGTACTATACTCTCCAACGAAAGTTCAATGAATTTTATAAAGCATTTGATGATAATATATACAGGTCATTTGCACGGATTATGAACAAGGTATGGTATCTTGAGATCCTGATAAAGTTCATTGTTTTGTTTTGCGAGATTGCACACATGCTTTAGTTAATTCGATATCTCTTATTTCTCACTTGGTCCTAACAACAAACACTTTTCCAAATGTCTGGGAGGAAGCCAGCAGCCCACAAACAAACAATATAGTTTCTTTAATGGTCGAAGCATCATTAGAAACTTAGCTCGCTTTATCGAATTCATAACTAAAACTATAGACGACGGAAGGCACAGATCACTGTCTTTGTTGCGCTCATAAAATCATATTTTTTTAACAGACTGCAGTAGTGGAGATGCGCGGTCATTTATCAATTTAGGTTTATGACTAATAGTGGCGTTCCCCATACTAAAATAGTAATAGTAATAGTAAGCATTAGTATAGTAATAAACATAGTAAAATAATAACAATTTCCTAACATTGATACTCAAACTTTGCTTTTTACCGATAATGTTTTACATGGTTTAGAATAATTTATAGTGTGCCTGAGTGTGTACCTCTGCAAAACGATTTGGATGCTATTGCTTCTTGATGTGCTTTCTATAACCTAATCCTGAATACAGATAAACGCTTGGTAATGTCTTTTTGTAATATAACTGGTACTACAACTTTTAATTAGGACTTGGCGTGACCTAGATATTATTAAGAAGACTTTGGTGTGATGTTTGACACAAAACTGACATTTAGAAACCACATTGTTCAAGTTTGTGGAGATGCGCTGAAAATGTTGGGTTTGACATTGCGAAACTCTAGAGCTTTTGCAAGCGATCATGTTTTAAAATTGTTATATTTTCGAAAGTAGAGCAGGGTTCAACAATATGGCAACCAATATTTGACAAGTAAATCACTTAAATTGAAAACACACAAAGTAGGAGCTACCTAATCAAACAAGATGGCATTGCTTACTTTTTAACATGATGTAAATATCCTGACGGGCTTACCAACACTATATTATTCAAAGGCGTGCCTACACACCTATTAACCTGCACATTGCTCCATTTTCTTTCTAAACAGCGATTTCAATACACTGAACTCGTTTTTCCAAAACATGTAACGACATCTACGAAATTTGGGTAAAAACTACCGCAAAAATGTCACATTCAAACTTATTGACGATCTCTCAGCGGCCATGTTGGTTATTGAATGAAGCAAGGTCATTCGTTAAAAACGAAATTT